GCTACAAGCATGCTTAGTGTGAGGGATTGCTGAAGAGTCAATGAGTCGATGCAATCAGCGGGTTTTCCTTAGATAGAAAACTTTGAATCAATCTGACCGGATGATCCTCCACGGAGGTAATTGCAAAGCGCCTTGTTGCCATCTTTCTCTTCCTTAAAATAAAGCCAAACTTTCAATCGGTTTACCCAATGGGACACCATTTTTTTGTTTTGCTTTAATAGACTTACGCCTGGTCACATCCTACTTGTTTACTGAATGCTGTGTGCATTACTTGCGCAAAAAACGTGACGTAAGTCATGCTGCCTAGAGCCAGCTAGGCCCTGGTGCTGGCTGGAATTGATTAGAGAATCGTTAAGGGGGCTGCCAAATGGTGCCATGGAATTGGAACACACGCAACCGGTTCTGAACAGGAACCGGTTTTTGATCCCCATCCCTATTGGGACGGGTGCGCTGACATCAGCTACCTTCCGGAGATGGGGGTGGACAGTGCCGGGCCCCCCCTTTGGTACTCCCAGTTTTGATTACACATGAGAACAATAGGCAAAAACACAACATTTGAGCGGGTGCAGGGAGGATCGGGGTCTTTTTCCCACCCCCGTTCTCCGGTTGCCGCCTGGAGTCTGGGGCCTGGAGGAAGAGCGGACCGCCTGGTCCGGGGTCTTGGGAAGGAGGTTGTTGTGGGGCTTGGACTTTGCATTGGGCAATAAAACTGGCTCTGGGCTGTACATTTTGAACTGATGTTGCTGTCTTGCATCAGAGATGTTCATGGATGAAAGTCAAAGATAGATTGGGTTGTTGTTCTTTGGCGTCTCTGCATAAAATCTTAACATCACACAAACCCCTCAGCCTGTTGTCTATACTAGAGCCCACTTACAGCAGACAGGATCAATACAAGACCAGCTTTTAATCTGACCTTTACTCTTTCTACTCTCGTAGAGACCAATGGAGATCCTTAAATAAATATATAAAAAACATGTATGTCCGTTATTGATGCTTCAGAATCAGCAGCTCCGCTTTCAGCTGTGGAGGCCAGGAGAGAAATTAAAGGAAAAGCTACAGTGAAGCTGCTCTCTGATTTACAGTCTTGCAGTATGAACACTGTGGCACTGCAACAGAATCTGTTGCATTCAGGGCGGACTTAGAGGAGGGCCCCCTAAAGTCTGCCTGGGGTCCCTATATAGCGATTAGGGTGGACGTTCAGACACAGCCAAAGTGTTTCTAAGGCACTGGGTCCACAGCAGGAACCATGATCTGCTCACAGAGAAACAGTTACTGTTACACGTGGTGTAACAGTAACAGCATTCAGCAAAGTATGTTGATCGTATTTACAGTTAAACATTATAGTAGTTGTGCAATGGGCTTGGCCAGGGGTCTGCAACGTTTTCCAGGCCAAGGACCCCCAAACTGATGGTGAGATGGAGAAGGTACCCCTAATTATATATTGTATGAAATTGTGTTATATCAAACTGGTCCTATAGTCACTATGTTACAGATGGAGTAATGGAACCAAAGTAATTTCGCCCTGGGATTATTAAAGTATT